AGAGAGAGAGAGAGAGAGAGAGAGAGAGAGAGAGAGAGAGAGAGAGACCATGAACACGTGGAGGGGGAAGGAGAATGGGGAGAAAAGGGACAGAGAGGGAAGAGAGAAAGGGAATAAGAAGAGCAAGTGAGTGCAGAGGGGGCAAGCAGCCCCTTTTATAGTGAGTTAGGCACACCTAGCGGTTGCCAGGTAACTGTGAGGAAGAGCCTAGACAAAATGCTAACAGTAGATATCAGCTAAGGGCTGGAGAAAAAGAAAAGCGTAGCAGGCATGAATTCATACTAGGGAGTAAATGGATGAGAACCTCTTAACCTTTTTAGTGTATTCTCATGTTAAAATAGGTTAGCCAGCTGGGTGTGGTGATTCAGGCCTATAGCCCCAGTACTAGGAAGGGACAGGCAGGAGAACCGCCTTAAGTTCAAGGCCCACCTGGGGTGGCTGTCTAGTAAGTTCCAAGCCAGTCTGAACTACAGAAGAAGAGCTTAGATAAAAGAATAACAAAAAAAAATTGATAAAAATAAAAAGCATAAAATATACTGGTTGTGAGGCTTGAAAGCTGTGCCCCAGAATGCAGATGAAGGCACGGAGGCAGGAGTCTGGAGAGATGGGACAGAAGCTCAGTGTGTACTGGTCTTAGAAAGGACACAAATTTGGTTCCAGGCACCTAATCAGTTCACAACCACCTGAAACACCAGCTCCATGGGTTTGGATGCCCTCTTCTGGCCGCCACAGGCACCTGCACTCACATGCATGTATCTACACCCACAGACATAGACATAGGCATAATTAAAAAAAAAAACACTAGTGATTTCAGAATCAGACTTTTAGGTCAGTGAGGAGGCTCAGTGGATAAAAACTCTTGCTGGACATGCTTGAAGACTTGAGTTTGATCCCTGGAAGCCAGCATGGTAGAAGAGTCACCCCTTTTAGCCTCTGTACATGTGCTGCTGTATAAGTTCCCACCCATGTGCTTAAAACAATTTTCAAACAAGATTTAAAAAAATGATTTAGATGCGGCAATTCACACCTATAATTCTAACACTTAGAATGCAGATGTGAGTTGGGCAGTGGTGGCGCACGTCTTTAATCCCAGCTCTTGGGAGGCAGAGGCAGGCAGATTTCTGAGTTTGAGGCCAGCCTGGTCTACAGAGTGAGTTCCAGGACAGCCAGGGCTAGACAGAGAAACCCTGTCTTGAAAACAACAAAACAAACAACAACAACAAAAAGAACAAAACCAAAAAGAATGCAGATGCAAACAGATAGTTATCAGTTTGAGGCCAACTTGAGTAACATAATGAGTTCTAGGCCAGCCTGGGCTACAAGTGAGACCTGATCAATAACAAGACATGAAAAAGGGGGAGGGCAGTGATAGCTCCGTGGGTAAGCACCTTGATAGCAGGCAGGGTTGAGGACCTAAGTTTGATCCCAGAGCACACATGATGGAAAGAGACCTGAAGTCATTTGTCTGTTGTGGCATGTATATGAGAATGTACAAACTTAGCTCTCTCTCTCTCTCTCTCTCTCTCTCTCTCTCTCTCTCTCTTACACACACACACACACACACACACACACAGACACATGAATAAATATTTTAAAATTTAAAAACAGAAAGAAAATTCAGACTTTGTCCACATTTGTGGCACTCTCAGGCTGTTAACTGCCTGCTGGTTTTCAGAGCACAGTCAATTAGGAAATTACCCTTTCCTAGGAAACCCAGGATGGCCTCAGGGAAGCCATTCCCACATGCACACTCTGGGGCCTCCCCTCAGGGGATAAGCTGGCCCTTGGCCAGCTTGCCTCCTAGAACCAGGGTTTACTCCGTAACCCTGAACATCGAGTCCTTCACTAGCCTTTTCTACTTCCAGATATCCTAACAGACTGACACACCTCTCCACATGCCTGTAAGAACAACAGAAATTTATTTCTCACAGTTCTGGAAGTTGGGGAACCCAAGATCAGCGTGCTGGTAGGTGCTGTCTGTCAACTCCACATTTCAGTTCTTAGGTAATATGCCGCTATCTGAAGTCTCTTTCATAGTGCCACCAATCCAATTCATGGGGGCCCCACCTGCCACCATCTTGTCCCTCCTGTGCTAGTCACGTCTCTTATTGCTGTGACCAAATGCCTGAGGAGTGGAAAATTAAGGAAAAACCTTTTTAGTTTATAGTTTCCGAGGACCCAATCTATATTTCTGTGGGAGAGGCGGAGCAGCTTACACCAGAGCCAGCTAGTTACATTGTGTCCTCGGTCTGGAAACAGAGAGCTATGGCTACTGGAGTTTGCCTTCAGCCCAGGCCCCCTGACCACGTGAAGGTGCCACACACATTTAAGTTCGGTTTTTCTACCTCACCTAACCTAATCTAGAAACTCCCTCACAGGCATGCAGGGAGGTGTGTTTCAAAGGAGATTCTAAAGCTTATCTCTAACTGACTCTGCCTACCATGGTGCTGGGTTTAAAAGTATGCACCACCACATCTGCCATGTTATGCCATTAAGAAAAAAAGAGTAACACATTTATTTATTTATTTATTTAGTAACACATTTAACAATGGGTGATGATACATACGTTGTGATCCTACTACCCCAGAGGCTGAGATGGGAGATTCTTGTGAATCTGAGGCCAGCTTAAGCTACATAGTAAGTTTCAGGTCAGATGTGGCGCTGGACTGAGTAGGGAAGAATTCATCCAGATGATGTAAACTACATAGTATACTATGCATCCTCTGGCTATACAGGTCCATGAATAATTTCTGCTTATTGGCAGGGCTATTTGTCTGCAATGATATAGATTTGTTATTCTGAAATTACTCTCAGTGCATATTGTACCACAGAGCAGTTAAATGCAGAAGTAAATTATGAATAGTGGGAGACAGACTTTTCATTAGTAGGGAAGGGAGTAGTGCACACGGAAAACTGGAAAGCAGGGACCCTGTGGTGTTAGACTGTAATCAGAGAGATTGGTAGGAATTCCCAGTGTAGGTGTCCTGTGACTACTTAGGAAAATCTACTTGTTTAGAAGTATGCTCTGGAGTATTTAGACTAAAGGGGCTTCATGTCTACAGCTGATTAAAAATGTCTCAGGAGAAAAACTAATCAGGTTGTTGGGGAGTCATCTCATGGGAAGAGAAAGAGAATCAGAGGGGATCCTGGGAAAATATAACTGAAGCACATTTTATAAGTATGAAAATATGAAAGAATATGTGTGTGTGTGTGTATATGTTAAGATTATATAAAGATTTTTTATGCAGAATTCTCTATGTAGACCTGGATGTCCTGGAGCTCACTGTATAGACCAGGCTGCCCTCAAACTCCAGAGACTTGACTTCAGAGATCTGCCTGTCTCTGCCTCCAGAGTACTGGGATTAAAAGGCATGTGCTACCACGGCCCAGCAATATCAAGATTTTAAAAAATTGCTATTCTTACCACTCTTCTTTCAGACTGAATTTTTCATGTTTAAAACAAGGCCTTACCTTGTAGCCCAGGCTGGCCTGGTGCTTGTTATATAGACCAGACTGACCTCCAATTTAAAGATCCTCCTACCTTTGCTTTACAAGAGCTGGGATAGCAGATGTGTACCACCAAACCCAGCTTTAAACTATTTAAAAGTAGAGTTTTGGATGGACCTGATTGTTCAGACTGTAACTCCAGTGCTTGGAAGTTGGACACAGGAGCCTATGGTTATCCTCTGTTACATAGTGAGTTCAAGGCCAGTCTGGCCCACACGAGACCCTCCCAAAATAAACCACTTTTGTCAACTTGGTAAGGCCAGTAAGGACAAACCATAAGAGCGCTGTTATAATAGGTGGGCAAGGATAATTACAACAGTGTGCACAAGGCAGGAAGACAGAGGAAGTTTGGGAGTTGGGAAGGAGGAAGGGTACAGAGATGTAGGATGTGAGGTCCTTCCTTAACTTCCAAAGATGAGAGGATGTTGATAAAATAGTGGCATCATCCCCTGGTTTGACCATCCTGGGGCCTGAAGCGCCCAGAGATGCAAAGGGATTGAATAGGAGTAGATCCCTAGGGGCGGGGATCAGAAGATCGGGCCCTGGGACTTCCCCTTCCAGGGCCGAGGGCTCCCGGGGGTGAGCTCTAAGCTCTTAGCTCCCCAAAGACCAAAGTAAACCCTAGGCCTCACGCCCTAGGACGCAGCCCTGCTTCCTGACAGTGGTGAGGCCGCGACAATCGCGCAAACCGACTAAGAAGGGAAAGTCCGGCGGGTGATGTGTCAAAGCCGCGGACACGGCTGACTTATTTGTACCCAGTGGTTAAATTACTCAGGCTCAGCCCACGGCAGGTGGTTCCATGAACCTGCACCGCCCGCGAGGAGCGGGTCGCGGCGCCCCCGCGAGGGCCGGTGCGAAACAGCGACGACTGGGGACTGTCGTCTGGCACTACACCGCCCCCTTGCTACAGTAGTCGACCACACACTACGCGAGTGCTGTGAAATGGACCGGAGCCAGGCCTTCGGGGAGGGGTTACAACAGATGGGTGGGGCCTTTTGGAGGAGTGGGGCGGGCTCAGGGTTTGGAGGAGGAACCGTAGGAGGGAAGAGTACAGATGGGGGACGCGGTGATAGTTGAGGGGCGGGAGACGCGTCCTGTGTGCTGTGTGGACACGGGGCATGCGTGACAGGGTGAGGTGCGTCCGCGCGAGGCGCATGCGCGCCAGGACCACCGTGGGAGCTTGAGGGCGGCCTAGAGGCCTGTCCGGGTGAGGGTGGTATGAGGAACCGTCAGGGCCGGGCCGGGGAGGGGGAGGAGGAAGGTCTTGATCATTGGGGAGGGGCGGATGTGGGAAGGTTGGCTGCGGCGGAAGCAGGGGGGACCTCGGGGGCAGATGTCTCCTGGGAACGACGCGGGCCTTTCCGGTTGCTCCCCGCGTAGAAGACGCGAACACTGAGTTCCGGGGAGGCCCCCACTGTTCACTCAAGCAGAGACTGGGTGGCGTCTGCACCGGCCGTGCCCCAAGTGCAGGCTGCTATGGGGAACCAGCTAGCACGTCTGGCGAGACCCACTTTACGTGGGATGTTCCGGCAATAGAACCGAAGCATCCTAGGCCCCAAGTCCCTGCAGTGACTGTATGATGACTCCCTGCACACTTGCCCAGCGTCACCATCCACATTGGACTAGGTTGTGGAGGCCTTCTGATTTCCCACTCTGTCTCTTTAATTAGGGTGAAGGCTCCCGCTCTCCACACTCCTTTGCCAGACATGCATTGTCCTTAGAAAAACTTAAATGGAAAAACAGCAGCTGGAGATTTCTCCTTTGTAAAGGTAGGTAGACTAAAGGGGGCCCATGGTGATTTTTTGTTGTTGTTGTTGCTGTTTTTGTTTTGTTTTACATTTAATCCGGTAAAACTAAAATCTCAGCCCAGATGTGTAGCACTGAGGTTAACCTATACTCACAGCGTAGTCTCTAGAATCCTTTTTGGTCTGTGCCACCCTCTTGAGCTCCAGAATTCAGAAGTTCACTGAGCACAGGAGTTAGCTGAAATTTCAAAATCAGTTGTTAATAAACTGAGAAATACAGAGAAACCCTGTCTCCACCCCCACCCCCTAAATAAAGCAAAACAAAAAACCAGTCAACCAACCAAAAATTGAAAAGGCCCTTAATGAGAAAACATAAACGAAATGGACAGAAATCTTCATTTTTTTTTCTTTTCTAACTCATAAAGCCTCGTGGTGGAATATCTGCTTGATGAGGAAGGATGAACACACCACGTAGGGACTCGATATGAACGGAAAAAGGCCTGTCACCATGAGTCTGGCATTTCATTGGTCATCTTAGATCTCCCTCAGTGTTTTATGACCAACACGACACGGTAAGCTTTAGGGGCTAAGATGTATCTTGCCAACCTGCAGTTAAATAACAGAACCGGGCACTTAACATGACTTCTCTTTTCATTGTTGAATATCCTTGAGTAACACTGGAAGGGATGCGTTGTTCATGTGGCCCAAGTGAGCCAGCTCAGAATATTGTTATGATTATTGTCAAATGACAGAGGACAGCGTAGGACATCAGTAGGCTTTCCGAGTCACTGCTAGTTTTTTCTTGGGTTTTGTTCCCGCTGTTACTGTTTTTGAGACAGTGTTGCTATATAATTCAGGCGGAGTGTCAACTTTCAATCTCCTGCCTCTGTCTCCTGAGTACTGCTTTACAGGTGTCCCCACTATGCCCAACTTATCAGTAGCTATTAGGGTGGAAACAACAGGTTGGGTAGGAGATGCAAGAATGGATTTAATGGTTTTCCTTTTAACTCTTTAGGTACTTTACCCCAATAAACTTATTGGATATGGGGAAACCACTCTTAAGTGTGGCATTTGAAGACATTAGCAACAGGTCATTTATTCATGAGAGAAACTAGAGGTGTGTTTGAAGAGACGGGTAGTCCTTCGTATAAATGGATGGCGTTTGTATCTGTCTTCTCTGGTTTTTCCTTTCTTTTTTGTTCTTCTTTCTGGGCAGATGCAGGTACTACGGCACTCCGAACACACACTGAAAACAGCTCTCCTCTCAAAGAACCCGGCGCTTGTGTCCCAGTACGAGAAGTTAGATGCTGGGGAACAGCGGCTAATGAATGAAGCCTTCCAGCCGCACAATAATCTGTTCGAACCCATTACGGTGCACTCACAGTCAGACTGGATCTCCTCCCACCCCGAGGCTCCCCAGGACTTCGAACAGTTCTTCTCTGACCGCTACAGAAAGGCACCCTGTCCGAAGAAACACATAATCTACATTCAGCCCATTGGTATGACCTGGGAACGGGAGGGTTTCGGTTTGGCTTTCTGCAGTGCCGTCACTGTCACTGGGGGGTGCTTTGGGAATTGGGCTGGTGTCCTAATTCAATGAATAATTTTTAATGGCTTCCCTTTTTGTTGTTGATGTGTTAGGTACTGAAGCCAAGGCTCTAAGTATGTTAGATATTATATGTGATAATTAAAAGTAGTAGTATCATGTGTATGGTGTGGGAGAGGACATACGTGCTAAATTGAGCATGTAACAAAGGACAGGTTTTGTCGAGCTGGTTCTCTGCTTCGGGTGAGATTGTCAGGTTTGTGCCACAAGCTCCTTTCCCTGCTGAGCCGTCTTGTCGGCCCCGTGTATGGTCACTATTGACAGTCGCTTCAGTGTGGGAATTCTGTAGCCAAATTGACTTAGCAGTGAAGCTGTTACCTTTTGACTTCATGTTGTCCTCAGTGACTGATTGAGATGTGTTTAGATTTTACAGTGAATTCTGTTCCTAATGCCAGACAGTTTATGGACTAAGTGGTAGAACGTTTCCGTCATTTTACAGTCTGTCTTCGTTTCCTCCCCTCCTCCACACCATAGGCTCTCTAGGCAACTCCAGAGTTATCAGTGAAGAGTATATCAAATGGCTCAAGGGCTACTGTGAAGCATTTTTCTATGGCTTGAAGGTGAAGTTCTTAGAACCAGTTTCCGTCTCTGCAACCAAGTGTTCCTTTAGAGTGAACGAGCACACACAAAACCTACAAATCCATACAGGCAAGTCACGCACCTTTGCCTTCGGAAAGCGGTGGAATGGACGTCTGTGTGTAATATATCTTACGCATGCATTTCTTTTGAAATAGGGCATATCCTGGCATTCTTGAAAAAGAATAAACCCGAAGATGCCTTCTGCATCGTGGGGATAACAATGATCGATCTTTACCCTCGGGACTCGTGGAACTTCGTCTTTGGACAGGCCTCCTTGTCAAGTGGTATTCCTTTATTCCTTTTTGATACTGTTTGGATGTTGTTCAGCCTAAGGGTATTCGAAGGTATTCAAAGAGCAGGAAAAAGAAATCCCACCAGTAATATTTTCAATCATTGGAACTGGTATTTTCTGTGGGTGCCGTAGTAGGAAGTGTGCTTTGAAAGACAGATGGATGGTAGGGGCTCCTCTTGAGGAGGCGTACTCCCTACCTGACCTTGACAGAACACTACTGAGCTCAGAGTCGTTTGGAGATAGTTTGCAGAACAGTGCCCACCCATAAATAGTGCTTGAGATGCCTGGCTCCTATACGGGCTCTCAGCTCAACAGCCTGGGAGTTTAAGTTATGTATTAGCAAGACAAACAGTTTAAGGAGATTTGAGCTGTCGTTAACATACTTAAAACTGTTGCTAATTCTGAGGGGTGTGTGTGCGTGCGTGCATGCATGATCACTCATGCACAGTACATGTCACTGAACACAGGCCTCGTTATGGCAAAGACTCTACTACTGAATTACATGCATCTCCAGCCCTTGCTGGTTGATTTTGCACTTTCGATATAGCACAGATGGAATAGCCATACACCAATATATAAGTACATATTTTCTTTTTCAACCTATACATGGCTTTATTTATTTATTTATTTATTTATTCTCCTTAAGAAGATTTGGCATGTAACTCAGTGGTGGAGTGCTTGCTTAGAAAGCCATCTTTGGGCTACATGTGGTAACATGGCCCTGTAATTGGAGCACTTGGGAGGTGGAGGCAGGAGGTTGCCGAGTTCAAGGGTAGCCTCAGCTACCTAGTGAGTTTAAGGTCTGCCTAGGCTAAAATACCCTGTCAAAAACAGCCCAACAAACATAAACAGCAAGAGAAGGAAACCAAAGTTTTTGCTGGCGTTGGGGAATATGCATGTGATTTCAGCACTGGAGAAGCAGAGAAGGAAGATCATAAGTTTCAGGCTAGCTTGAGCTATACAACATCATTACCTGTCAGAAAGAAAACAATAAAGATGAGAATAAAGGAAAGAAAAGCAGCCTAGACCTCGTCTGGGGACACAATAAACTGTAACTCATTAGAAACTGCCTTGCAATATTAGAGGCGCTGGAAGTGAGTCAGTTTCTTCTTTTTCTTTTCTTTCTTTTTTCCCCATTTCTCTACTTCATTACCTTTCTCCTAGTTTTTGCTACCCTTTGTCTAACTTCATGTACATGTACACACACACGTATACACACACACACACACACACACACACACAGATACACACACACATGATCTAAGGCAGGCTGGAAGGGAAAAGACCAGTAGACTAAGGGGAGTGGGTGTGAGCATCTTGGGGATAGGGCAGTGAACACAAGGGCTGGAGAGAGCTGATGGGCTGTCTGGATGTGGGTCAGGCTGAGGCTTTGGGGCAGGGGCTGGCTTCTCCTGACAGATGCTTATGTTAGAGGTGGGCGGGGCTGGTTCTTCCTTCATTACTTCACCCTCAGTGCCCCTGGATTCTCCCAGCATGCTCCTTTTGAGGTCTGGGGTTACTATCCTGCTGAGTTTTTATTGGATGTCCCCTTTGTTAACACGATAGAAATGAAGACATCAAAAATAAATGCAAAACAACTTATTCATTGACCTAAATACCTCTAGTGAATTTTTTATATGCGTTTTGAGGGGAGTGGGTCAGGAAACATTACCCATACTGTTTCTATTTTAATTATTTTTTTCCGGGGTGGTGGTAAGTCTTAAAAATATTAAAAATATTAAAAATATGACATAAAACAAGGCAGGCCAGGGTAGCAGTTGATCTGACATGAAGTGAGTATGTTTTACCACAAGTAGCCTGGTTTTCTTCAAGAGTAGAGACTGTTGTTAAACAGAGAAACGTTTAAAGTGTTCTGGCAGAAGGGGTCACGTGAAGTAGCTTACTGGGGTGGGGTCGAAGCAGATCCCTTGTGATCCATGATTAGATTGGCTTTTTCTTGTAGAATACTCTTTCCCGAGATTTCAAACAAGCTGCAGTTCCTGAAGGTGATAAAGTTAAATTGCACAAACTCACTATGAGTTTACTTACTTACAAAGAATTTCATGAGCTCAGTGGTAGGAGACTTGCTTGGCGGGCTTAGGGCCCTGGCCTCGCCCCCTACCCCTAGCACACAAAAGCAAACATGCATGAAGTGGGAATGCTGCTTTGTGCGCGTGAGTCTCTGGTCTCGAGCCCTAGGAGCTCTCTCTCACACACACACACACACACACACACACACACGTCATTAACAGTAACAATGGAAAGACCTCAGTATACCTCTGTGGTCTCACACAGGAAGTCAGCCACAGGGGTGTTTCATTCTGGTCATCTGTCACCCTCCTCTTGCACTTTTAAAAAGTAAATAGGGGAGGAGAAGAGGCTCTTCTCTCTATAGATGGAGGGGCAGGAGGGACAGCAGGTGCTACTGTAGGGAAAGCCAGAAAGTCACTGATGGGTGAGGCAGAGGTTGGCCCTTGTGCTCCTAATGGCAAATTGTGACTGTTTTATCTTGGCTCTTCTGGAGTACTTGAAGATTTTTTTTTTTTTTTTGAGAAGAAACTGAAACTTTCAGTTTCTCTAGAATTCAACCATCCTTTGATGTGTGTGTGTGTATATGTTTATAAATAATATGTTTTTATTAGCATGTCTTAATTATATGTAATAGTGGAATTCATTATGACTTATATATACATTATATAATGTACTTAGGTCATATTCGCCTCCCTCAGGTGCCCTCCCACTCCTGCCGATTCCTTTCTTCTTCTTCTCAAATAGTCTCCCTTTTACTCCCTATATCCTCTGTGTGTATGTGTGTGTGTGTGCATGCGTGTGTAAGTGTGCGTGTGTGTGAGTGCGTTCGTGTGTGTGGTGGAAATCAGTAAATTTAAGTATGTTTCTGTGTAGGGGCAGGAATGAGGGGTTACTAAAAGAGCACAAGCACCTTAGCTGTGGCCACACCGGTGAGGAAAATGTCTCCTTCCTCCTCCAGCTGGTCCTCAGGGAGGAGCCTGGACCTGGTGAGCCCCTCTCCCTGCAGAGCATTTTCTAGGGCAGGGAGTGAGTTGGCAGGTAAAGATCTTGATGGAGAAGTCTGGGACAAAAGTTCTTCATGTCAGCAAATCTTTGAAGAGGTCTCAGTGGTGTGGAGAGAATCCAGATGTGCACTGCGTGGCCAGCTGTTTGGCCTTCTCGGTCCTTCTTTCATGTATCTTACCTACTGACTGCCCGTGCTCGCTCTCTTTGTAGGTGTGGGCATATTCAGCTTTGCCAGGTACGGCAAGGATTTCTACACCTCGAAGTATGAAGGCAGTGTGAAGACCCCACAGCTGACGTCTTCCACTGACTACTCCATTTTTGATAACTATTATATCCCTGAAATCACTAGTGTTTTGCTGTTGCGATCCTGTAAGGTAAGTTGCTTAGAAAAATCTTCCTTCTTTTTCTTTAGTAGATAGAAGTTTTACTTTGCCCAGGATTATGTGTAGGTGCTTGCAGGTTGCCCCTCCTAGAGATGTGTGTTGAGGGTATGTTCACAGGGCCCCATCTGGGCAGAAGTTTTGGTGATGGTGGTAATGGCGTTGAGTCCTGTAAATCTGTTTTGTGGCCGGGGGGACAGGACCTGTTGTGTAATTGCTGATGGTAATGTCGGAGTGGTGACATAAATGTCTTGCAGACTTTAACCCATGAGATCGGACACATCCTTGGACTGCGACACTGCCAGTGGCTTGCGTGCTTAATGCAAGGCTCCAACCACTTGGAGGAGTCTGACCGGCGTCCTCTGAATGTCTGCCCCATCTGCTTACGTAAGCTGCAGAGTGCTATCGGCTTCAGTATTGTGGATCGATACAAAGTAAGGGGAAAGGGGAACCAAGAGGAGGGGGCGGCGGGCTGAGTCACAAAGGGCGTTTCCCATTAGGTCCTTTAGAGCTATGACTTATCAGAGGAAATTAGGTAAAGATCAGCAGGAAACTGTGGTTTTAAAAAAGTATAAAGAGAGCAGACAAGATGGTTCAGTGGGTAGATCCTTTGCTGACTTGGCGAGAAAGATGAGAAACAGAGTGTGGGTCCCTAGAAGCCACACACGTGCCCCCCTCTAGTCCTGGTACCTGGGATATGGAAACAGACTCCCAGAAGCAAACTGGCCAGCCAGACTTGCAGACTAGCAAGCTTTGGGTTCATGGAGAGAAACTTTGCTTCAATGTATAAAGAGCAAACCGAACACGCTATGTAAAAAACAACAAAAAACAAAACATGCAGAGAAGAACCCCTTTAAAGCCCTCAATTAGGGTGGAAGAGACAGCTCCCTCAGTAAAGGTGCTTGGTTCTCAAGCCCCGCAGTCCCCACAGTATGAAGACGGGAGTCACATCCCTGAGCCCTTGGTGGAAGGAGAAAATTGACTTCTGCAGGTTGTCATCTGACCTCTGCAACCTGCTGTGGCATGCATCCCTTCCTCTCAGCAATGTAAATAAATCCAAAAAGGTCAAAAAGCTCTCTCATGGTGGCTCACACCAGTAATCCCAACGCTCAGGAATCTGAGCAAGAAGGATTACCCTTAATTTGAAGGCAGCCTGGGTTGCATGAGTTTTAGGCCAGCCTGGGCTATAGGTTGAGACCGTTTCAAAAGGAACCTAAAAGAAACTTCAATTTAGCACTGAAGCACCAGGGCTTGTCTGATTCTTTGGAGCTATAAGCATTTGTGAACCACCTGATGTGGGTGCAGGGACCCAAACTCAGGTCCTCTGATGGGGCAGTGAGTGTTCCTAACCACTGAACCATCTCTCCATCCTGGATAGTGACTGTCTTATAGTTCAGTAAAAACCAGTAAAGGAACTCTCTGTCTCTTGTCCAGTTAGGTCAAGAGGGGTTGACACTCCAGAGCAGGGTGCATACTGATGGATGTGGTGGAGTTCATTTGTGTAAGCATAGAACTGTGGCTGTAACTTTGCAAATCCCAGACAGACACACAAGTCTGTTAGAAAAGAAGATGGGAGAGGGGGGACTCCTGCTGTCCTTATGCACACATTAGCACACATCCCTGTGGTCACTTGTGGTCTGCCTGCTCATGCAGGGACAGCACTTGAATCTCTCCGAGCATGTCCTTATGTACATATGTCTACCCTTGCCTTAGGACATGGGTATGGTTATGTGCACGTAGGCTAACAGCACAGCAGAATATATGCCATAATTATGCCTTAGGGGATAGTAAGCAAACTGAGACAAAAAATTTTGATTATCCTGTCATCCTAAAATAGTGTAGGAATTAGTATAGTTTATTTTCCTTTGTGGGTTTTTTGTTTTGTTTTTGAAGTAAGGTGGGATTTCATGCTGTAGCCCAGGCTAGACTGGAATTCACTATGGTAACTGTGAACTTGTAGCAGTCCTCCTGGCTCTCCAGCCTTTTCTGAATGTTGAGATTATAGATGTAAGGAACTCAGTGTCTGACCGTCGTTTGCATTATGTTCTCTATAGTTTTGGTCCGAGCTGGGTGTCACTCGTGTCTTGAACTCATAACTCACTCCATTGGGCACAAACCACAGAGGTAGAAAACCTGATTCCGATGCCAGTTTTGGAGCCTGAGATTGTTTTACTGTTTCTTGCTTTTTTGCTTTGTTTTGCTTTTTGTCCTTTGAGACATGGTTTCTCCGTGCAGCCCCGGTATCTGTTAAAATGCAGTGTGTGTGTTTTCAAGGCGCTGGTGAAGTGGATTGACGACGAATCCTGCGACGACTCAGGAACAACTCCGAAAAGCAGTTCTGAGCATGTGCATTTGCCGAAGCCCGTGGAAGCCTTTAAGGACTGGAGAGAATGGATAATCAGATGCATTGCTGTTCTTGAAAAATAAGGACTTTGAGACAGGAGTAGCTGAAATAAATACTGGCACACTAGGCGTTTGTGGGTAGAACTCTTCATTGGAATAAACGATCTGCTGAGTCTGCGCCAAGGCCGGGTGACAGACGAGAACTTGTCTGAAGCCCCTGGACTGGAATAAGATTCACTAAGGACAACAAAACCCTCTCTGCCTTTCTCTCCATATCACTAGCTGGTCTGCGGCAGTAACCCCGTCATTTCTGCCCTTCAGATAGGATTAGGTGAAGATAGACAATAAACAAATAAATACTTTAAAAATCACTCTAGGATGTGGCCCTAGGAATGACACTTCTCCAGGTTGTTTGTGCTTTGAGAAGAGATGCTGCTCCTTGTGGCACAGCCAAGTCACCAGGGCTCTGACCTTGCACAGGCTGGCATCCTTGTGATCCATGGGTGGCCTTCATTCTTTCCTGGCCATTTCTGAGCCTGTCCCTGCAGGAAGTGACGGCTTATATCAGTTGTCAGTAGTGAGAACAGCTGTGGTCCTTTCCCACAGCAGCTGGTCGTGGTTGGGGAGGGGTGGGGGTGGGGCTTAGAGAGTATTCTCAGCTGTAACTGATGGCTATGTCTGAGGCCTTTACGGATGACTCAGTTGGTGCTTATGTCTGTGTGGGTTGTGCTCATTCTATAGGGCTAGGTGGAACTAAAGTTTGTTCTTACAGTGTTGTGTCTACCTCATTGTACTGTGACCTGTTTGAATAAGGGAGGGTGTGAACGGATTACTTACCCATCAGGATGCCACGAACACCTGCGTGGTCTGTCAGTCTGGACATCTGTGAGTTGTGGTAAGCAGACTGACAACCTGAGACTCAACTCATCTGTAAGATCGGTGTATCTTGGAAAACAGAAAGGAACGTTATTTGTGTCAGTGGTCTGATAGTGTGTTCCTTATTTGTAGTACTGGTGTTTGTTTGGTTTGTTGTTGTTCTTTGAGACAGGGTCTCTCTAAGTAGCCCTGGCTGGCCTTGAATGCAAGGAGATTCCCCTGCCTCTGCCTCATAAGAGCTGGGCCTGAAGGTGTGTGCCACCACACCTGGTGGTCCTGGGGTTTGACCCCGGGCCTTGTGCAAACTTAGCACTCTACAGTTGAGCAACAGCTCTGGCCCCAGCTTCCCACTTTCCTACTTTTTTCTTTAAGGTAAGACTTCCTCTCTCTTTTCTTTTTTATTTTAGTGCTGGGCAGGGTGGGGGGGGTGAGGCTCAAGGATAGCCTCAGGTGTCACTCCTCAGCAATTAGGCCAGCCTGGCCGTCCAGTGAACCTCAGAGATCATCTGCCTGCTGTCCTCACCCCCACCCTGTGGGAGCGGGGTATAGTACCATGTGGGCCTCTGCTTACACGGCAAGTCCTTTACGGGCTGAGCTATTTCCAGCTCTCTTATTCCATTTGAAATCTAAATGTCTTTCCATTGAAATCCAAGTGAAATCATTGTTGTGACTTACAGTGTAATTAAAAGCATGCTGACAACAAGCAGTGTCATTTTGCTTACTTGGTTAAACGTCTAAGTCCTTTGGAGATGGCATCTTGTCACTGGCATCGGTTGGAGACTATTCCTGGTCCTTTCGAAAAGAAGCAGGCGGGCTTCACAGGTTCTGTTTATGAAATGTGGCCCCTCCTTGAATAATTACTCTTAATTATTCCCCCTTCTACATTTTCTTTAGTTTTCCCACCAAGTAAAATCAATTCTCCTGTGGGTCAACAGTCATAAACGAAGGACAGAGATTTGCCTAGGCTAAAAACCTGGGAATCATAATTATCTGAACAAGAAACGAAATCCATTTGAAGCAGGGCAGTGGTGGTGCACGCCTTTAATCTTAGCACTGGGGAGGCAGAGACAGGCAAATCTCTGAGTTTGAGGCCAGCCTGGTCTACAGAGTTCTAGGACACCCAGGGATACACAGAGAAAGCATGTCTCAAAAAACAGGAAAAAAATAAATAAAAAGTCCATTTGAGCCTACTCTGCCAAGGAGCCAGAAATAAGCTCTTTTGGAAGAAATTGCTCTTGATGACAATGGGACCGAGCAGCTAAAGTTATGTAACAAGCATTTATTAAACAATAAATGGTGCGTTAACACAGTTGATTGTATAGACTTTCGGAGGATTTTTTTAGGATTAATTTTAAAACACAATTTAGGGACTGGTGAGGTCAGCTGCTACCAAGCCTGAAGACTTGAGTCTGATCCCGGAAACCCACAAGGTAGAAGGAGAGCCAGCTCCCTCAAGTTGTCCTCTATGCATGCTGTAGCATGAGTTCACACAATAAAAACGGAGGGGGAGGGAGGATAAAGAGATTCATTGAGGACTATGTTTAATGTACAGTAACTGGGCTTCAGTGGGAGCGTTGTTTCCCCAGCAAGTAGGAGAGCCTGGGCTCAGCGCTCGTGCATGCACTGCACACTAGCCGGGAATCCAAGCAGGTTTTGCTCTGCCCGTGGATTTAACTAATCCATGAGAATAATTCCCCAGTGCCTAAATACTGTCTTAGAAATATGTGAGTGTGAAATACTGTTTGTTTATGTCACAAGTCGTATTCTTTGGCTTCAACAGTTACACCCCTCAAGGGACCCTTCCCCGTTCCCCATCCCACCCCACCCCACCCCACCCCACTCCCACCACACACACCCCGGATCAAGCGAAGGATCAAATGTTGACATCTCAGTCTGTGAAAACTTAATAGAGACAGCCGAAGAGAAGTAATGGCAAGGATTTTTGTTCAGTTTGTACTTATCCCTAAACTATCTCATTCCTACCGGTTCTTTGGGATCAATTCTCACTGTGTAGTTCAGACTGGCCTTGCTTGATCTGACATCCTTCTGTCTCCTGGGCGCCTCTCCTGGGCTTGGGATCACAACGCGCCTGACGTGGGGCTATGACTCATCTCAAACCCCCGAACAGAGGAACAGAGGGCCTGGGTTGTTGGTTGTTTCCTCTCCAAAGCCCCGGTAATAAAAATCCAAGCAGGCAGCCGCGGGACTGCTATTGCCAGCGGTCGGGCCCTTTCCTGGCAGGAAGCGCGTCGCCGTCCCCGGCTGCGCCCCGGAGTCCGTCCCTCGCGCGGATCCGCTTCTGCCGGTGGCGGGCGACACCTGTGGCCACCCCCGGGAGGAGAACGGAGTTGGCAGCTTGGCCTGCGGGCGTCCGGAAGCCAGGTAAACCACCACAGCCTGACGCACCCCACTGCGCGGAGGCCTGGGCCACCCCCACTCCCACAGCCCGGCCTTGGTCGGTCTGGATGGCACCGGCACTTGAACCGTGAGTGGAATCAGTTCTACTTTAGAGAACTTGCGAAGTTCAAGTGTTGGAGGTGTAGCCCAGTGGTAGTCCTCTTGCATACAAATTCGTGGACACACACACACACACACACCACCCTCCAATCTAACCTGCATTCTTTTATCTGGAGCAACTCTGTCCAATAGAAAAGTACCACAAACTACCCGTGTAGTTTTAAAAACAGAAAAAGAAGCAGCTGGAATTCGTTTATTCCAGTGCCACTAAATGCTATCCCAACACGTAATCACGGCACGAGTTGGGGTTTTTTTTATTCGTTTTTCTTACCAAGTCTTCAAAAACATCATATCATCGGCTATCTCAACTCTAGCTGGCTGCCCCATGTGACCGTGGTACTGAGATGCACAGGCAGTTCGGGATTCACTCTGCCCTAGAGTCCACTGGGAAGACGTATCCTTAAGACCTAGGAGGCAGCAGGAGAGAAAGGCTGAGCTGGGGAGGATGTCACATGGGACTTCCGGATGTGCAAGCTGAATGTAGCACAGGAGGGCCTTTGCTTTGGAGTCAAGTGGGCAGAGTCAAGGATTCTTCTCTCCCTCTCTCCTTGCCTTTCTTCCTCCCTTCCTCCCTTCCTCCCTTCCTCCCTCCCTCCCTCCCTCCCTCCCTCCCTCCCTCCCTCCCTCCCTTCCTCCCTTCCTCCCTTCCTCCCTTCCTCCCTTCCTCCCT